GTAACGTCGTAGATTTAAGAATGTAAGGTGCGGAGTGACTCGCGATCATGGTAGAAATACAAGGGTATGCTCTTGCGCACGCGACCAATCAGAATTGTCGAAGTGTGACGTCACAGATAAGCGGTAAATTTAAAACTGCTGTTTCCAAACAGCTTATGTTAGCGGCATTCTCGTCAGATATATTATTTTAATTTCAAGTTTGCAGGGAAAAAATCTGTTGTAAAGTAATAGTTTATGAATTAATAAATACTTTGTAATAAAATATAATATAAATAAACATTATAAACTTAATAAATATAGAAAAATTTACAAAACAAATATATAAAAATGTTAATATTTTTTTTACTTTGTTTGACAGCTTTCCTCCTCATATCACTTTATAGGGATTAAATGACAACAATAATAATAACATATATAAAGATGCTATGAAAAAGATTTATTATTCGTAAATTTGGTTAACTTCTTTTTTTTATTCTTAAATCTATTTTGTACAGCAATGGTTCGATTAATTTCGCGTACCCTAATGTAGGTTCTTGTCCTAACAAGACATAGCAAGACCTCTCTTGGCAGTTCGATAGGTTTTAATGCAATTTCTATTTTATCCGTAAGTTTCTTGAAGATGAATTTGTCTTTACTAAGCTTTGAACCGTGATACTTGGAGAATTCTGTGTTCATAATATGTGCAGCTTTTAAAAGATCAGACGATGGGTACATGCATTTCCCTCGGGAAATAAATTGTAACCAATCTAGATCATTGACAATTGGTAGCTCGCATGTTTTAATACCTAGTGTGTCGTGTTTACTTTTGAATCTATATGCTACATAGCCAGCTATATATAATAAACCTTGATCCTCAATATTGTCGACAATTTCCATTTCATCTAATGATTTTAGTATTTGTTCTTCTTCTAAAGTAGGAATATATGTTGCTGAATTAAAGCATGGAACGCGATTTTCCTTATTATTATTAATTTCATTTTCTGTTAAGAATTCTTCTTCGATATGAAGATCGGTTGTTTCGTCTTCGTTTGTGTACGGCGCTAACATATTACTTAAAATATACTCTTCACAATTATCATCGTTAAGCGGAAATATTAAACAGGATACATTTCGTTCGCTTTCTGTGACATTTGTATTTTTGCAGAAAATAGTCGTAGAAAATTTTCCTAATATATAGCGTTTTACTCTATACTTAAAATCTAAGGCTGTTGGTTGATCATTCGCACCACCACCATTCGATCTTATAAAAGAAAAGAAATTTTCTAATACATCTTGGTTTAACCGATTTGTTATGACATATTCAATATTAGCCGTGGAATACTTCTCAATTAAATACGGTAATAATTGTTCCAAAGAATTACTGCTCACGATGAACCCTTTCTGAAATAACATTAAACTTTTGTGATTTCCTACTCTTAGTTCGTACATGAAAGACGTCATTTCGTGAAGTATTGCATTTTGTTCCTCTAAGTTCTTGCCATATGCATTTTTTCCTGAATGGTTGCCGTACATCGATTTTGAGTTGAATATATCAAACCAGTCATTCAACAATTTGATCATACGTGCTGTTTCCACCCACTCTACATTTTCGAGAAAACCTTTTTGTCCACACCATCGTAATGAAGCAGCGGTAATGGCAGACAGTAGCTGCACAGCTGGGAGTACTTTTTGTCGCTCAGTACCTTGCAGGTCTAAATGGTACTGAGATATTTTGTACGCCACTTTCAAATCCTTAATATTAATAGCTAACAACCGTTCTAAACTTTTTTTACTTAAAATTACTCCGTTAACGTTGAAGTCCTTATCGAGGAAATGATTACGCGCCAGCTTAACGAGATGGGGCATATCTGCAAATACGAAAACTTTGAGTTCAATACAAACAGGATGCTGAAAGTAACATTTTTTAGGTGCAATTCCTATTCCCATTTCTGACCACAATCCCATATTACCCGAACCCATATCACTCGTCACAGCAATAACCGTATAGCCTATATTATACATTTCCGAAATAACGTGCAAAAGCGTGCTCTTAGACATAGGTTCATCAAAGTTGTAATACACTGGCTGCTTCCAATTGGAAAACAAGCTTCGTACCATGATACATTGACACGTCTTGTGAGGTCCAACGACTTGCTCACATTTGCGATCTATAGCAATTTTATTAGATAAATAGACCTTATCGAATGTTACCACTACCAGTTTTTCAGAGTCTTTTAAGCATTTCCCTTTCTGTTTCATGCACTCGAGCACACACGATATAACACCTGTTTCTGCTTTGATAGAACTTGCCCACCTTCTGAGCGTTGATGGACCAGGGAGCGGTATCTGCAAAACATTCCTTAAATAGCGATATGCCTTCGGACTGATAGATCGTAACGATATAGCACTTGCTATATCTTCTGGAGACCATGATATACGTTTCTTAGACGGGTTTAGTAACATCCGTATTTGCCCCGGAGTAAATATTTTTCCGAGTATCTGGTATATTTTTGTTTCCGCATTTTCGTCGCCTTTCTTCTCTTTCTCTTTGTACATAAGCAACTTCTTTTGTGTTGCTGCTAATTGCTCTTCAACACTATTACTGAAAGTAAACAATAAAAACCAACATTATTCTTTCATATAATGACCTGAAAAATTTCTAAATGTTAGTTTGTAACTCACAGTTTCTTCAAGAGACCAGTTACATCCTTTGATGTAGATGGTAACGCTGTTATAGTATTGATCGACTGGATTTCTTTTGACACAGGTATATCATCGCCAAATGTGGCAAATATCACTGTATCGTTGCATGTTGATTCCGAAGTTGATGTGTCATTGCATGTTGATTCCGAAGTTGATGTGTCATTGCATGTTAATTTCGAAGTTGATGTGTCATTGCATATTAATTCTGACATATCCGACGTATCAATTAATGGCAATGATCTTTTATTATAACGAACAGCTTCCATTTGCGGCGCGTCACACATTAAACGCAACGTAGGAATTGCATCTGGTCTCAATTTTGTCAGTCTTTTTTGAGCATAGAAAAGGGACTTTTCTTTCGACGGCTGTACAAAGCATGATGCATCGAAGTGTTGGGAACATATCATACCTAAACACAAAATTATATGCAGTTCACTTCATTATATTTGTACATTTACAAGAAATATAAAATCTTACTTTTTTTAATGTTAACGTTGAGGTTAACGTTTTGTTTTCCACATGCTGCAAGCCACTTAGCTGCGATCGTAAAATCTTTCGGAAACGAAAAATATTTTATGCTGTTTCCGTCAAGCAATTTTGTTTTTCGATAATAATTGCCACAACCTTTCACGGAACAGGACATTGCATACTTAATGTCCACAATCACGTTTCTCCGGATCTAAACGACAAGCACCAGGGCCATATTTAATTGTGGTCCAATGGGTCCAATCAGATTCTAGCCGAGTGTGACGTCACACTTTGACTGCGCAGTGGGTGTCCACGGGATGAGCATACCCTTGTATTTATACCATGCTCGCGATCTGCGACTCGGAAAGTTGCGAAGTTTGGCGAATCGATCG